CGGAGACCGGATTCATGCTCTTTCTGGATACACCGGCCCACCACGAACTGTCGTTTCTTCCTCGCCTACAGGAGATAGGTGCGGAATGGACGGAGCAGTGTGCAGCAGGCACAGTGAAGAGCCCCCTAAAGGTGTTGCTGATGATGGCAGTGGCCAAGTAGGAGCTTCAGACGAGGCTGGAGGCTTTCAGGGACGACTGGACCGCATCGAGCGCGCCAAGGGGACCGGATGGATCCTACTACGTGTGGAATCCGAAAGAGAAGAAGCAGGAGAGGTCGGACCAGCAACCGGTTCCCACCTCCACTCTGCTGACCTCTCTGGACACCCTCTTCAAGAATGTCGCCACACCGGGGGTACTCCAAAGGTTCCGGAGCACCAGGGGCCCGGACGAGAACTACGAGGATGCGGAAGTGGTGCCATTTCTCCTCTGGATCGGCTTGCGGAGCAACCCAGCTCAACTTTGCTACCAGGTGTTTCAACAGCTCTCGGGGAATGCGGTGACGAAGCTGCTAGGCCTTCGAGTGCGACCGGAGCGGGTGGCAAGACAGCCAGCAGCCAAGAAGCTGGAGGAATGCTTCAAAGCGGTGAGCTACTGCGACTGGAAGGATCGCAAGTGATGCCTTCGGTGGAAGGCCGCGCAGTGTCAGAGGGAGCACTGCGCGGAGCCGGGTCTGAGGTAGCCCGGCTTCCCCCAGGCCAGCTGCATAGCTTGCCACTTGCACGATTGCAAAACATTAGAAACTACTGCTATTTACATGCATGCTTGCAGGCTGTATACTGGTGTGGAGAGCTCACTGCTCAAGCTGCGATTTGTTATGGCATGCTGAAGGCGGGCCTAACATTGCTTAAGCAACCCAAAAAGCTGCAGGTAACCACATGCGTGCTACTCCGTGCAGCCCTCGTGGGCTGGGCAAACCCATTGGCCCAGCATGATGCAGGTGAATATTTTCGCTTCTTGCTGGAGCTACTGCAGCCGCAGGCCTACGTTGGCGAGTGGCAAGCACGTCTTTCCCTGCCCTTTACCAGAGTTGATGGAGGTCAGCTCACAACGCCAGTGATCATGCATCCGCAAGGCGGGACTTTGGCTGATCTCATTGCAAACTGGCATGTGCAATATGCAGTGCATGCACTGTCGCAGCACTCTGGGGTTTTGGTAATCCGTATAGTGCGCTACGGGTTTCATGCCGCTGCAGTCAAGAACTACTGTAGAATCTGCATCGAACCCGGCGAGGCTGTGGCCGTTCCCATCTTTACCGCAGCTGACAGCACAGACGTTCGTCACGAGTCCTTCCGAGTCGGGTTTGTTATCTTCCATGTTGGAGATAGGGTTGATAGCGGTCACTACCAAGCTGCCCTTGCCAAACCCGAGACTGCTGATCCCCAAACCTGGCACTACTGGATCTGTGATGACAATAAGCCCCCGCGACGTGCCACTCCCAAGGACATAGGTATACTCCATAGGAATGCCTATGTCGTTGGACTCGTGCGAGCTAATTAGGGGTGGCAGCCTTGGCCAGAGGTGACATGAGTTTACTTTGCACCCATAATCTGTCACATTGGCTTCCGCCGCCAAGCAGCTTCGCGAGCTGCGGAATAATAGTACGCACAGTTGCCCACCACAGTGTGGGTCGGCACAGTGACATTCAAGATGTGCTGCCAACAGACTGTCTGCTCTCACAGTCGTCTTTTTCTTTCTTTGATGTTCAGTTCACTTTTTGTCCACTTCATGATGCTCAGCAGCTTGGCTCCTGATCGGCCATACGGCACTTCGGACTGGCAACTCTGCTCGCGTGCCCCGAGTGCAGACATCAGTGCATTAGTGTTGTGAGTATATACTGCTCCGACTGACAAGCACATGCACCTTACTTGCTGCTGCAATGTGTGCTCTGATGCCAGGTTCCTCAAGGGATAAGTCTTTGTTGTTTTGTCACATGCAGCCCAGCTGGTACAGCACAATTCTCCCGCCGGCTGTTGTCAAGTGATATTGCCGGACGTCTACTGCGGGCAATCCTGGTCGACCTGCTATGCCGCCTGCAACGCCAGCCCAGGACCTGAATGTCAAGGCTATACCGTTCCCGCTGGATGTGTACACGGTTGCCTTGGAAGAGTTCCTGTTGGTAGAGGCGTTTGCTAAATTCCTTCGGCAGCAGGGAGGACCCACCCTACCACCGGCGGCGGGGATGGCACCGGTCAACGAAATCCTGCAGCGTGCCCTAGCTATGCTTGTGGAACCTTACCGAAGCCTCTTTGTTGACTACGCCTCGCAGCTGGACGATTACCGGTTCATTGTACTGGATGCCTACCTGCCCGGACCTGCACCTATCCTGACAGATGTTCTGCTTCCCGCTGAGGCCTTGGCTAGATCCATCCTCATGGAAGGACGCTGCCCCATATGGACAGCTGCCCGACAGGTAGTTGCATTGCTGGACTGGCCGCCGGATCAACGGTCCTCCCCGCCAGGGCGTGGAGGCTGTCTGGTGCTGGGTGCTTACTCCCATGGTCCCTTTGCGGGATTATGCAAAAAGACCAAGATGTATGCCTCGGTATGTAGGGTGCTGAATCGCCTTGTGCAGCACCTCAGTGGCTCACATCAATGGAGTTCCTTGGCTCTTCACCTGGATGTGCGCATGCCGCCCCACCGCGACAGTGGAAACTTTCCCCTGGACAGTGTCCTGATTGGGCTGACTCATCACGTCAATGGCGGGCTATGGGTGGAGGATGGCGAAGCAAGGCGGGCTGCAGGTGAGATCAATGCTGATGGATGTGGCACCGTTCACCGCTTGGACCTCCACTGCCTCAAATTTCCCGCCCATCGCCTGACGCATGCCACCTGTGACTGGGACCTCACCAACAGGATTATCCTGTCAGCTTTCACCGTAGGCCAAGTGCATAAGCTGAGCCCGGAGCATCGTGATCTGCTGCATGATTTAGGGTTTCTTCTCCCTGACCTTCCTCCGGTTCTCCCTAGGGGTTAGGAGGGTGACTAGGTCATAAGAGCAGTGCCCCAGCCATCAATGCACCACATGCAATGCTGTACAAACGCCGGTGGTGCGCCGTATATGGCAAAACCACTGCAAGGCCTAGACAGGTCGGGCACCAACAGCGAGAGGATAAGGTACTTTCATGGCAGCCTCTACGCTTCGACATGGGCCCGGCTGCAGCACTGCTGGATGCGCCAGGGCAATGCCTTTGCTCCCGCTCAATGAGAGGCCACGGCATGGGAAGTGCTGTGCGCTTTGCGGAAGCGGAAGCCACTCGCGCCAATGCGATCGCCTACAACGTTTAACAAACCGGATGGTGATCAGTGTTTGCCGGACGCATGGCTGCAACCTCTTAGTGCAGATAGGTCATACCACATGCTGTTCCTCCTGCTGGCTTAGTCAAAATGGACTGCATGCTCGTGGCTGTGCAAGACGTCAGGGCCTCTTGGCAGCCCGGCGTGCAGAGAACAGCACAAGTGGTATTCCACCGCTACCTTCCTCCTCCGCCATGTGGGGCCAGGCGCTAGGAGGAATGGAAGCATCGTCTGGAAGTGTCAACGCACCAATGCAGGACATGCACTCACCTTTGACTACATCAGCGCCCGTGACAACCGGTGGAGCTCTGCATGATACTGGTGTGATTGATATCTCTTCGGAGGACGAACTCACCCATGATGCCTCCTCTGGCAATGCATGGTGTACTGCCCGGGGAAGCCAGGCTGCGGATGTCTTGGCGAGCTTGGATACTGATGAGGTGATGGAGACCGAAGCTGATGCACAGCCATGCATGCATCCAACTGCTTACTCACCTGACCTCTTTGCAATGGACTGAGCCGCCAATGAGGATAACACCCTGGCCATATAAACTGCGAAGCAGGGGTCCCCTGCGACGGAAGCAGTTGGCACGCTGTTGGCATGCCAGGCAAAAGCTCGCGAGCAATTTATGATGGACTACGAAACTGTACATGTTTGCTGCGGTGGAAGCTCAGTTAGTATTTGATTTGCCATAGAAGGATCCTCAATAGCAGGATGCAGCCACTGAGCTGCCGGGCTATGCCTGCCTTTCGTCAATCATCGGAGCGACGGTGAGACGTGTGCAATGCAATACGGCTACGACTACGACTGCAACTATTACTAGTAGACGACGACGACTACGACTACGACTACGACTACGACTACGACTACGACTACGACTACTACCACTACTACTAGTAGACGACGACGACTACGACGACGACTACTACTACTACTGCTGCTGCTGCTGCTGCTGCTACCATCGGAACCACCACCAAGACTGGCGAGCCAGCACGCCAATCTTGACCCCCCCCGCCCCACGCCGAGTGCCGAGCAAGTTTGGGCACCATGTCGTTGACCCCACCAAAACAATTGAAACGCATTTGGCAAGATTTTACTCCAATCTTGCCCCAAGATTGGATCTCATGGCACACAGCACAAATACCACTTCCACAACAGCAACAACAACAACTACTACTACTACTACTACTACGACTTCTACCACTAGTACGACTAGTACGACTACTACGACTACTACGACGACTACGACTTTTACGACTACTACGACTACTACGACGACTACGACGCCTATGACGACTACGACGACCACGACTACTACGACTACTGCGACTACCACTACGACGACTACGACTAGTACGACTACAACAACAACCGCTACTATTACGACGGCGACTACTACTACTACTACTACTACTACGGCTCCTACAAACAATCCTCATAATCATCAGAATGGAGATAATCAAGTTACTAGTGGTAATAATGGACGTCCTCCCCCCGCCGACCAGGACCGTATCCTCAGGTCGTTACTGCATCAGATTGAATAAAACAGAGACCTGTCTCGGAGTCTCTACTATTGCTCGGCTTTCGCCTCCAACTCCAGCCAGAGTCAGAGCAGTCTTACTTGCGTTTCGTGCATATCCTGGACCCGGACCCGTCTGCCTTGTCCTGATCGCGCTGGGTTTGAGTACTTACGCACATGGCGAGGCTGGTCATTGCTGCCCGAGCTTTTCTGCGCTTTCGGACTCGATGGATGGGCCGTTCGCTTCGATGGTTCGACGGGTGGCAACACGACCTGTGCGGCGACAGGTAGGCAGCTTGTGGTACGCGTTGCTAGCCCCGTGCTCGGTTGTCGCGCAAGATGCAGTTCCATACAGTTCTGAAGGACTGTAATGCCGAGTTGATTCAATTCTCAGGCACAGAAGACTCCTGGTCGCTCGGCTGTTCATCACAGTTTGCCAGGAGCCTTGATTCCTGTTTGTGGGATTGCTTTGGGTGAGGGCCGGAGTCTCCTTCTACGAGCTCTGGGTCGCAGCAGAGCCTCCGCCCATCCCCGCCGACGCGGCAGTCTGGCGCCTTCAAACCTTCCGGGTATCTTCGACCGCATGTTGCATATGCTTCGTGATGCTGCTCTTCGGTCTCGTGCAGAACCCTTTGCAGCCAAGTTGGATGTGCCAGCAGATGCAGAAGTTATCAGCAAACTCATCTACGACGTGGGGCAAATTTCCGGAGTTCGCGTTTATCAACGCATGGCGAGTTGCTCGGCAGATCTTGTGCAAGGGCCAGCACGGCGGTAGATCGAGATAGTGATGGACCTTTTGAGCATGCTGTCTCGGCAACCAGTTTACTCCAGGGAACCTGATCGTGATTGCAGTTGCCGCTATTGTCGCTTATTTCGGCAGCCTATGCAAAGCCAGTCTGAGCAAGGTCGAACTGTTGTGCTAGGGCAGTTTGAATTGCAACCTCGCCGAAACTGTAAGGCAAGGAATCAAAACTCAACTTGTTGAGGAATTTTTCAAGTCGTGGGGTGGCTGCAGGAGCCGGAGGCCCTTCACAGGCAATCCACAATCCAGTTGTTGCCCACGACGTCCATTTCGGATTTACGGTTAATGAACGGCCTGAGCCGACGAATTAGGGTAAAATGGCGACCCGAGCTGACCTGGGCTGATTCAATGTTATGTTGCGCTTTTTGGTGAGTACTGTGTATAGAGGCTAGTATAGGACTCCGTGGGAACATCGGTGAGTGACGGTGAGTGTACATGTTGGGTGTCGTTCCGGGAAAGCCAGTAAGAGAAACCGCTTATGTCATGAATGCCTGCAGGATCACGATTGCGCCCGTCCTCCCAGCAGTAGGAGCCTTAACGATGATTCGCAACGAGGATGATCCTGCAAAGAACGAGCTCTTCAACTTACATCCGCTTTTCGAGTTTAACCTCGGGACCAGCCTTGTTTTCCTGTGGCCGATCAGTGCTCCATGGAATCTCATGGACGTTTAGAGAGTGAGCATATGGACAGTTTTGGTATTATGTCGCCTTAGAACTGGCGTGTAGCCACTGGCGAAATTCAAGTCTCGCAGGGGTCGTGGGCTGCTGAGGCTGATCGGAGCAAAGGTATTGCTATTCTTGTGAGGGGCACGTCCCGGAATGACTGGGCCGCAGCAAGTTACTCTAGAAAGGAGTTCTCACTGCGAAAGGAAAATAGCAGGAATAGAAACGGAAATGCGAGGGACACCTCAGCAGCTGTCCACGAATAATGCAATTTACAAGACAATTACAGCACGGCAGAGCCAGTGAAGAAAGACGCTAGAGGTGAGTTAAGGTTTTTTTGACAATCCATGAGGAATCTGCTAACCAAACACACGAGAAACAGAAAAATGACGACTCTGGAACTATTCATGCAAAGCGCCGAATGAGAGACACTCCAGTGGAGAGGTTGGCATTGATCTTTTGGACATGATATTCTTGCGATGTTGTTTGTTGATTTGTTTTCGTGCTGCATTGAAATTTTCTTGTGTGGTTTCGTATGATTCTTGTACTTTTCTTGCCCTCTATTTTCGTGTGTCCTTGTTGTCGTACTTGTACTGTGCGTCTCCTGAATATCGTTTTGACGTCCCCCCCCCACTTAGTTCTGTTGGTTTTTAGAATTCATGCCTGTGTCTACCGAAATTTTCCCGTAGTTACGTAACTGAGCTCAGCCAAGCCGAGTGATTCCGCAGGATTCCGTGCCGATGCCCGTCATAGCATTACTCAGCAGCATTACAGCAAAACTAGTCCGACGGCAACCTCACTTGTGGATTGTTTTGAGAGATTGAACCTTAGAGAAAGTCGTTCGCTCCTGTTGGAAAGGTTGCATGCAATTCTCCCTTCGACTGGATTTATTTAGTTTGCGCAGAGGCCACGGCACGACAAAGCTTGTTTTGTAGCTGAGGTTGGGCGGTCATCAACAGAGGCCAGATGACAAAGAACAGGTAATATGTTAAGCTTTTGTGCTGGCAGCCCCTGCTGCTCCCAGACCAGAGCCAGCTGTGACAGCAAGCGCGCGTATGTGCTGCAATGTACGAGTCATGAGCATCGCGGAGGTAACGAGTATCTTGGCGGTACGGTCCTGGACCTGACGCTCGTCGTTGGTTTTGCCAGTCCGATCGTCGAAGCTCGGCTGCTATTTTGCACACCAATGGAATGCGTTCTGGGTGGCAGTGAAGCGCTCCTTGCCTTAGGCACATGATGAGCTGGTACTCACGGCCCCAAGTGGCTTCAACCTGGCGGCAAATTCGATTTCTGGCGAATGTTTGCAACTGCGTTTGCAAGTAACTTTCATGAAAGAGAAGCAGGTAGACAGAATCAGAGAGAGAAGACGAGTCGGAAACCGCGATTTGGGCTCACACTGTGAAGCGTGCAAGGCAGCTAGCTCTTTTACTGGCACCCTTCTCCTGCCTAGAGGGCAGCCTGCGAAAGTGTTGTCGGCCAGAATCCAGAAATTGCAGAAGCAGCCGACGAGGCCGAGTGACGAAGATGCCATAGGGAGGAAGCACTGGGAGAGGGCGTACTCCAGTTGCATATGAATGAAACTAGGAAGCCCATTGCAACCTGCAGACGACGCGCTTTCAGCTGAAGGCCTGAAGATTACAGCGGGCTGTTTTGGAGTGCTCTTTCATTGCGCCGCTGTTGTTAGAGAGCGTGTGCTCTTTCGTGACGCCCACAACCCTAATCGCGTCCTCTGTGTCAGCATGTGTCAGCCTGCACTGGCCAGTAAAGATACCCACAACAGCAAGCCAGCAGCAGATCTGGATGAGAGCGGGTGCGCTGGCAGGGAGAGCATGTTCTGAAGCTTGCGCCAGTTTCGCATCTCGAGAAGCTGTTGACACGTCCAGACTCCATGTCAGGCACTGGGGGAAGGCATTCCCGATCCTAGGTAAGATGCCTTTCGGGAGGGGGAGAGAATCAGGGTTGGAAGCAAAGATTGACAATTGTAGAAGTCTGCTGGGTACTGTAGGCTTTGAAGCTAAAACAGCGGTGGTGCAGCCCAGCATAAGGCAGGCGGACGGTGCGTTCCACGTCTGTGCTTGTCTTCCCACTTAGCTTGCCAGCCGTCCTAAGAGTTATTTCAGGACTGTTGGCGAGTGTGCATGGCGCGGAGGGCGGGAGGGTGGTAACCTGCTGCCTGGGCTCCTGTGCTAAAGCCAAGAAGACCTAGAGTACACGAGCAAACGCGAGGTAAAGGAACACTTGAAGAGAAGAGAAACCAAGGGAAGGGAAGTGCAGAGCAGAGAAGTAGTGAGATGCAGAGCTGCAGTTAGGTGATAGCGCTCGTACGTCGACATAATCTGTTGTGGGTTTCAGGCATCAACGCTACCGAAAGTCCAGGCTCCGTAATCGTATGATTTAGGAAAAGGACGGGTGGTTGGCACGCTGATTCATGGCATGCATCGTCTGATGTTAGGAATTTATGTAGGTGTCTTTGAGCAAGGGATTTGTGGGCACACTGGTTCATGGCAGGCATCGCTTGATGTTCGGAATTTGTTTAGGTGCTTGTCAGCCGACATCATGCATAACTAGGTACCGAGAGCTGCGGCCTGTTGGAGTCAGCCTTGCTCAGGCAAGCACAAGTTGTCGCTGGCGACCTGACAGATCCAAGCACGTGTGCAACTCGCCTGCATGCTCTCCATCGTCGGACAAAGGAGTCGCGCAAGTCACATGTTTACAGGCTCCGTGTGGCAAAGGACACCACAGACGAAATTCGCGCTATTCTACCCTGATAGGATCTCCTGCTGTTGCTATCTTCTGCTGGATGTAGAGAGATGCCAAGCAGCTTCCAGTGATGTCTGGTGGATGTTGAAGGACAAGTGCCAGGGCAACAAACACTTTGATCGATGTTCTCCTATGTCAGGACATGCATGTTGGTGCATTGAGCTCGTAAGCTTTGCACACTGGCATGTTTCAGTGCGTGGTAACTCATCCTGGCATGCTGTGTCTTACCAGGGCCGTGCCATGGGGAATGCCTGTCAAAGGCTTTTGTAGATTGGGCGCATTGCGGAATCCCGACTGCCCGCCGGAAATGAAAGTAGCCGACTTCCTTTCTGTCATCCCTGGGGCTGTCATGTTCGAATAGATGCAGTTCATGACGATCTGCGGCGGTGAACCGTGATGCCAGAAGTACGACCATCTGCCATTCTGCTTGCATGTGGCAAGGCACGCATCTGATGTGGTGACAATATCGAGACACAACTCGTCGTTCACAGATCATGTAGTGCCGATTCTGGTTACCATTCATTCACAATCGATAGGTATCCACATTGGGAAATTCGGAATGCAGGACCACAGTATGAATCGGCATCCGGGAAACCGTTCTTGTCAGGACACCCAAAGGTATGGAGATAGCATTTATCGCTGTCCGCACTGGGGAGGTGTAGGTGAGCCACACGGCCTTTGCAACTTGTGCCGCTCGTTGTTTCCAGGGCCAAGATGCAAGAACTCCACTGACGCTGGCGAACCAGAGTGTCTTCAGGCAGCAGGAAGCGACTGAGATGTGATTCGATTTCAGCCTGACCCCACGTAGTCCGTTCTAGCAGAGGCTTTCTGCTCAGGGCGCAGTTTGCACTTGCAGATCAACTCCTCATGGTGGGAGGCTCAGCTTTGCACCAAAGATCTGCGACCCTTGAAGCCATCATACCTAGGGTGGAATCTCTCGGAGACTCCATCCAGGTGCTGCTTCAGGTGCAATGCATGACTACAGCAGTGTTTGACCATCCTATTCCTAACCTGCTCCCAAGTACAAAATGCCAGGCGGTCAGCGCATCCCTACCACCAGCTGAGGAGGAAACGAGGTGAGGGCTTCGGTGCAAGCCTTGATTTTTCTCTTGCCAGGAAAACTTCTGGTCGGCATCTCTGTGGCGGAACGGCTCGATAGTAGAAGGTGCTTCTTGCCTTTTGCGAGAGTTCTGCCAAGTTATCCACTGCACGTGCAGGTAGCGATCTAATGTCTTGGCGCGTCGTTCCGCAAGTTCAGCAGTGAATTCCTCACCATCCGAGCTGCGAAGCGTATCGGTGTGGCGGATGTGCCAATTGCATCCACTTGCACTTCGTGTTGCAGCCTTGCAAAGCCGAGCGAGGCCTCTTCTGGAGCCATTGGTGGGCGCCAGGCCTGTATGCAGACATGCCAAGCTCGTGTTGATCTTTCCAGCGGTCTCAGTTGCAGTGAGCATGCTGGAGGCAGGCCGCTGGAGCATATCCTGTCGAGCTTCAGTTCTCCTTCGTGATCCGAGCTGCTGCAGCTCGATGGTGCCTCAAGGCCGTTTATCTGGAGCAAGCGAACCGACGGCACAATCATGCTTCTCATTATTCCTGTCCAGCCGGCATGCAGGCTTTGCAGCCGGCAGCTTTCAACTTCTCTGCCACAAGGAGTTTCGGTTTTATTGTCACCTGTTTTGTGTGGAACCCTGCAGCTACTTGCTCACAAGCTTGACTTGAAGCGGTGTCTTGCGTCTTGCGCTACTGCATTCGATGCAAGCGTCTTGGTAGGCTGCTTTCCGCAAGAGAGGCCGGCCTTGCGGCATGCAAGCAGAGTCGGTTGAATCTTAGCGATTCCATAGCAGCCAGGAAAGCTTTCTTCCAGATGACACAGGCTTGTTGCTAGCTTGATTCCAAGTGGAGGCATGAGCGAAGTGCAGTCCCTGGTTCAGGTGTGCAGCTGGCATTGCATGGAGTGAATCTTCTCAACTCGGTTGCTGGAGAAGTGGGCAGTTTTGCTTCTATGCGGCCAGACAGGCAAGGCGATTTCGGCTCGCAAACCTTGCCAGATGGAAGACACAACGGACCCCTGGCCGGGCAGGAGGTATGTCTTCTTGTTGGCGAATGTTGGGTTGCCTGCGGTCGCTGGCACTGTGTACTTCGAGGTCTGGACGATGTAGTCTTGTGGTTGACATAGCAGCGCAGAGCTTCGCTGCAGAGGCTCACACCTATGATTTATCTGGTGACCTGAGCAACAGCGGCAAGGCCACTCCATGCGAAGGGAGTTCAAGAATCGAGTCAATGCATATCTGGTTATTTTGCATATTCATGTTGTCGGCAGGCAGTGGAAGCTTTCACTGTGCTGGGGAAGGTGGAGGCACGGTGTGAGCGATGCCGCTCTGTGCACAGCCGCGCTTCAGCTGCGTTTTGCCTTCAGGTGTCGGATCTTCAGGTCTTTCCCTGGCTGCAGGACACCGTCCACGAGGCCACAGTTGCCGTGAGCGTGACCTGAGGAAACGCGCAAAGCTTTCAGGCAGCAAGAGTGATTCTTGACCGCTTGCCTCCACGACCGGGGGACCAGGCTTTGGTTCACCTTAGCATGGGAGCCAAGCAGTCTCTGGCAGCCTCACATTGCTTCAGACCGTTTGTCCCTTTCGGCAAAAGGCCTGTGGCTCCGTGCCATCCCCGGACAATATCTTCGTGTTTCAGCTGGAGATTTGTCTTTGCAGGCAGGGGACATGAAATGGCTTCGATCGTTTGTAGGACTTCAGGGCACGGGTTTTGCAGGAGATGGTCTTGAAAGATGCTCAGTCCAACAACCAGCTGAGGTGGGGCTCCATCCGTCGATTTTGTCAGCCCAATTGTGTATTTTGTTTGTGCAGGCCGTCTACGGTAGTGCCTGCCGTAGGCAGCACACTCGTTGCCGAGTTTTTGGGGAATGTGAATGAGGTGAAGCATGAGCTGGAGGCGGCCGCTTTGCTCGAAGGATGGCCACACCATGGTCCTGCGGGTCCTGCCCGGTCAGGTTCAACTCGCTCTTCCGGCAGACTTGTCAGGCCACGGGACTGGGGGCATCTCGGGACTCGGTCTCGAGCCAGATCTGTCTTTGAGGCGGAGCCGGTGCCGCTCCGATCTGGCGAATCGAAGTCTTGGAAGACGACTGGGCCGGGGCCTCTGCGACCTCGCTCGCGACCTCTACCTCTTCCGTGTGGACTGCTCAAGGACACTGCGAATCGCAGTAATAACGTTGTGAGCTCTCTACTTAGCCGAGCCAGGGCTTGGGCAGCTAGGGCACAGATCTCAGAATTTGTTGGCGATGTCTAAACACGCTGAGGCACGAATGATGGCGACTTCGCTCCAGCACTGTTGCTGTCCTATGCCTTTGCAGTATCGATCTCTCCGGCCGCGGCCTTGCAAAGCTGTACCATGTTGCATCATGTTGAGCGGTAGTCCTTGCAGAGGTGGCAGTGGCTCCAAATTCGGAGGCCTGAAAATTCCTTGCAATGTTGTGGTTGCTTCCGGTTTGCTTGCCAGGTTGTCCTGAGTGTCAGCATCGACCCTAGCGACGCGCAGATCACGCATGTCGTGCCGGCAGCGTTACAGCTAATGCGTGACATTCGCCGGGCAGTCGGTCAGAATCGGATGGCCGGCTCAGCGGTCGCTGCAGGGAGCGAGAGTTTGAGCCGGGAAAGTGAAGAGGTCTTCGTGAACGAGAGTCAGGTCAGCTGTCACAACATCAAGTTGGAAACACCACATGATCGCGACCATGGTCAGAGGCATTCTTTGTCGGGAGAGGGACAGAGAGTGTGAGAGGCAAAGAGAAAGACCGAGAGGGGGAGAGAGAGAGAGAGAGAGAGTGGTGCCTGTGGACTGCTCCCGCTCCAAGCCCCTAGCAAAGCAAAGTGGTGCCTGCAGAGAAGTAGTTCTTGTCTAAAAGGGTCAACCTATGTTATCATTCCACCATTTCATGTTTTCGGGATCGGACTCACCCTTGCAGAGTCAGCCGATGTCGAGTGAAGACCAATGCAATCGTGAGATATCGCATACCTCATGGCTTGATACCGGCGGCGGATTGATTGTTTGGAACAGGTTGTTGGAGTTTGGCTCGTATTTTTTGGTGAAAGAAGGGACGGCTAGCAATCCTGCTGAGGCACGTCTTCCACAAACGATTTTTGCTCGGTCGGGTGTAAACCCGGTAGGTTGTTGGTGTTGCCGTTCAGGTTGTGCTAGCCATCAACCCAGTTTAGGGTTTACCTTGCGAGGTCAATGTGATTTTGTGTCTAGCATCTTGAAAAAGATTGCGACCCATGTGCGAAATCTGGTTTGGTACGGATTTTGCAGTTCGTTTGTGAACTTTGGTTGCGCAGGTCGTGGTGTGACGCTCGAGACTTTTGGTTGCGTCAGGGGTTGATTCCGTTCACGGTTCGGGTTGTTGTTTGCTGCTGGTCCGGGTTGATAGCTGCTAGCCATCACGTGTTTTCGGGTTTATGCTCGAGATTTGAATGTCTGTGGTAGTTTGGGATTGAAGGTTTATGGTCGCACACTTGTTTGCAGTCACAGCGTCCCTTTTAGGGTTGGGTGTTTTTCAAGGTTGCAGCTTCCGTTTGGGACCCAGTTGGGGGCTTGGTGTTGGGGCTTCATTGTTTTGCGGGCTTGGGAAGCCGCTCTGATCCACAGTTTGATGGTTCAGAAGTACGGGGTCTTGGTTTCGGTAAGGGTTTAAGTGTCTGTACGGTGTAGGATTGCGGGTACTTTTTGCAGGCTTTACTCGCCATCGCTCCCGTCAATTTAGCATTCCATGAGTACAACGTCCGGGCTGCGTGGTTGTGGTGCAGGTCTTGCCGCATGTGGTTCTGGGCTCAGGCTGATTGTTCAAATCTTGTCAGCCTTTTTGGCTTTACGATGCTCTGGCCAATGCTCCTTTGGCGGCTCAGCGAGTGAATTTCAATGCTCGTCGAGGTTGGGCTAAGCATTGTCGGTCCTGGGCGGTGGAATGTGTCTTGTTTGCCATTTATTTTGAGGCTTTTGTTTAGTCAGTTGTTGTGTAGACGATATCCGCTTGTTGAGCAAGTTTTGCACGACTAGGTAAGTTGGATTCCGTTTTGCATTCAGCATCAGCCATCATTATTCTTTAGGGCGTAAGAGTCGAAATCTTGTTGCTCGTTGGCTTGAAGTCAGGATTGAATGCAGGTCTGTCGCACACGTCATGAGGGATTCTGTTTACAGTTCGGGGGCGTTTTGCGCTCCGGGTCTGCTCGCTGCTAGCCATCACTTACTTTAGGGTTTAAAGCTCGAGATCCGCTTGTTGTGGGCTCGAGTCAAGCGTTTCACACGCAAGCCGGTGGGGTCAGAGTATTCCGTGCAGGGTTTGTGACAAATGGTTTAATTTAACATTCCGTCTGGGGCGCAGAGGTCAGGGCTGGTGGTGTGGCGTCATTGTTTTTCGGGCTTGGGCAGCCGGGAAACCCTCTGATCGACAGTTCGAAGGTCTAGGTCCATTACAGATTTAGGGCTTACTTCCATGCGTTTAATGTCTGCGGGGTTTCCGGGAGGTCGGGGTGGTGTGGGGCTTCGGGGTTTGTTCTGAGCACTTTCGTACCCGTGATTGTTTAGAGCTTGTCAGCCCTGTCGGTTTTACGGTGCTTTGGCCAATGCTTCTTTTTGCGTTCAACGATTGAGTTTAAATTTGAGGGGTTTTGAAGTTAGTAGTGGGTAGTGGGGTTGTGCTGCTGTGTATTTTGAAGATGTCGGCTTGGTTCTGTGTGATGTATATTGCATCATCTCTTCGGGGGAAGGGCTTGGGGATTCAGCGCCTGAGTATAGTTCGAACACTGAACGCTGAAAAGCCAGGGAAAGCATTCATTTTTAACTGTTAACACGTAAACAGAGAATGCCGCCGCTGAGCCCAAACAGGTGTGCCACCAACCTCCGCACGAATACTGTGCGCCTAAACCTTCAATCCCACCACAATAAGTGATGGGTGGCAACCCCCGTGCCACAAACAACATCTTGAACTTGAAACGGAGTCAATGAGGCTTTTTGGTCAGGTGCGCATTGTGCAGACGGTTTGTGTATGCTCGGGCGAAATAAGGCAGGCTTTCTTGTTTGTCAGGCTGTGCTAGCCGTCGTTCCGTTCAGGGTTCTCCGGTCGAGGTCGATGGGTTGTTGCTTTCCCATTTATTGGGGTTGCGACAGTATTCGAAATTTGGTTAGACAACTTGCAGGTCGTTTGCAAGCTTTGGTTTCGCAAGTTGCTCGAAGGTTTTCGTTGCGCAGGGGGTTGATTGCGATTACTTTTCGGGCGTGTTGTTTGCCTCCGGTCCGGGGGTTGCTAGCTGCCAGCCATCACTTGTTTACTGTTCTGAGCGGCCTGATCTCACGGTGAAGGTCCACGGCCAAGGATTTGGGCTTTAGGGTTTAAAACTTTTTCAAGGTTGTTTATGGTTCACTTACCATCGCTCCCGTCGAGTTTTACGCGCTATGAGTTTAACGTCCGGCTTCGGGCTTTGTTGTGTGCACTTTCGTTCCTGTGATTGGTCATAGCTTTTCAGCCCCGTCGGCTTCACGGTGCTCTGGCCGATGCTCCGTTTGTGGCGCAGATGGCGCAGTGACTGAGATTAAAGTTTCACGGGTTTGGGGGTTAGGTTTTGCGGTGTCGATTTTACTTTATTTTGGAGTCTTGGTTTAGGCATGTTGTTCGGGGAAGATTTCGCGGATTGTTGATTTGGGCAGTTTTTCGGAATTTGGTTTGTGATTGTATTGGTGAACTGGTCGAAGTGTGAGGCTTAGGTAAGTGTTAGATTCCGTTTTGCGTTCAGCCATCACTTATTCCTAGGGTTTAGGAGACGAGATCTGTGGGTTTGAATGCGGGATTGAACATAGGTCGGAAGCACAGCTAGTGTGGGTTTGCAAAAAGCTTTTTCAAGTTTAAGTATTTTTGGGTATTGCCAGGGACTTCGGCTTACGGTGCTCTGGCCAATGCTTCTTTTGCGGCCCAACGATTGAGATTGAAGTTTCAAGGGCGAGGTCATATGTGCAGACGTTTTCGGTTTGTTCGGGTACTGTAAGGTTCGTGGCTGTGCTGGCCATCACTCCGTTTATGTTGTTTTTGTTGTGATGTATCTGTTTGGGGAAGGGTTTGGCCATCACTCCGTTTCGGGTTTCTTTTTGTGATGTTGGAATTTGGTTTATGAATGTTTTTGGTGAGCCGGCCGTGGTGTGAGGCCTAGAGAAATGCTAGATGCCGTTTTTGCACTCAGCTTCAACAATGAGTTCTTGCTAGGGTTTCGGAGATGAGATCTTGCTGCTTGTGGGCTTGAAGTCAGGATTGACGCAGGTCGGTCGCACACATGGTGAGGGCTTGGGGGGAGGAAGCCTTTTCAGGTTCATGTGGAGCTTTCGGGGTCGGGCATCCGCTTATTCTTTCCCGACAAAGACGTTCTTCCCGTGATCTCTTCTTCGGATTTCGTGTTCGACGGTTGCAGAAGGTTTCGGCTTCAAGGTTTCAGGCGCAGGTTTCAGTTTGGCCATTCGGCCGGAGACCAGCTTGTTCGTGGGCGGTTGTAGGTCGGTCGCACATTTTGTTTAGGGTCAGGGCATCCGTTTTCGGGATTACTTCGAGGTTGCCAATCCGGCTTGGGGCTTGGAGTTCCGGGGTTGGTGGTGGGGCTTCATTGTTTTTCGGGTTTGGAATCTGGAAGCCGTGGCTTGCCATGTCTTCTATGCGTCACGGGTTGGCAATGGTCTTGGGGTTTTGCACATCTATTTGCTGCGCGATGTCGCTTAGGACTTAGTGGTTCCGGGGCTTGATGTGGAGGGTTTTAAGTGTCTGTACGGTGCAGGATTGCCGTTGCTTTCTCTATGTGTACTTCACCATCGCTCCCGTCGGGTCTAGCGTGCTATGAGCTTAATGACCGGGCTGCAGGGTTTGGCGGCACGTGCTTTCGGGTTCAGGAAGGTGAAGGCGAGGTGTCTTCGGGGTTTGTTGCGGGCACTTTCGTACCTGTGATTGTTTAGAGAGGGCTGCGGGGTTTCCGGTGCAGGTCTTGCTTCGCAACAGTTTGAGTTCAAGGATGTGGGGGCTTCCGGTGTGGGTGCCTTCGTTCCTGTGATCGTTCGGGGCTTGTCAGCCCTTTTGGCTATACGGTGCTGTGGCCAATCCTCCTTTTGCGGCTCAGCAATTGAATTTCAACTTTCATGGGCTCTGCGGTTAGACTCTGCGGTGTCGGCTTTGGTTAGTGGTGATGTGTTTCATGTTTGCAGTTCAGTTTGCGGCTTTTGTTCAGGCTTGTATTGCGCAGACGATTTCTGCTGGCTGAGCAGTCTTTTTGCAATTCGGTTTGTATGGTTTTGTTGAACAGGTCGTGGCCACCTAAGTATTTGTTGGAGTCCCTTGTGCATTCAGCTTCAGCGAACTTGTCTTTTTGGGGGTTGGGAGCCGAGATTTTGCTGCTTGCGGGCTTGAGGTCAGGATTGACGCAGGTCGGTCGCACACCTGGTGAGGGTTTTGAGGAGGCCCTTCCCGGTTCAGGAATTCCCGAAAGCGTCGCGAAGGGTTCTTCCGTGCGGAGCCCCGCAGATGA